AATTATTTGAATGGTAAAATTCAAGTAACCCAAAAAAAATTATTTTCAGACATAATAAATTAGATACAACTTTTATTGAATATCAAGCATAGTTTCTACAATCACAATAATACAAAATACCCAACTTCTAATAATTTATTCAATATCCCTTACGACCTCTAAATCTCTGTCTATTGTCAAGTATTGAGCGTTTGCACTGGAAAAATGCTTCTCGTAATACAAAACATTCCTCGGGTACAGTTCCATCTCTTTTATTCAAACATTCTCTAGGTGTATTTTTTCTATCTTTGCAACATTCACTTTTCAACAGGCACATTTTTAAATCTGCCCTGAGCCCAGCACAGGCCGTCTTATCAGCTAATCTTTCATTTTCTTCTTCATATTGCATCATTTTGAAATATAGTGTCTAATTAAACTTAAGTCAATAACAATTAACAAAAATTTTAAAACAATCTTATCTGGATAGATAACATAAGTGGATGCAAATTAAATGATTTTATAATTGTTTCTTGAAAGACACGATTTCCAATTGATTTTATTGACTTCAATATTATATTTATAACGATTTTCTTATTAAAATATATCAATATAAGTACATATTTAATCGGTTGTCAAATGTGTTTTTGAGGTTAGACAATCATTGTGTAACACAACACAATGGCTCTCAAACTGTTTTTTGTATTCATTCATTTCCACTTACATATGCATATATATAGTAGCTGAACCGGGAAACGTTGTGTTGCTAAGTAAGGTATTTTCTAGCCAATTTTTAGAGAATCTAAAAAATTAATACTTAAATACAAGTGTGCAAGAATATGTTGTTTGAATGCTATATACAATACCCATTATAAAGGTATTATAAAAACAGTAAACCCCATTAGTTTCTCTATATTTTGTTAATACAATCAAACTGGAAGTTTTATACACTTTCTATAGAAAACTTGGTATAATTCAATCCAAGTCTTTTCTGGTCTTTCGACTAATATACTCATTACAAATTCAATTTAATAGAATGTTTATAAAATTTTAAGAGTTTCAGATTCTTTTTGAATTCAAAATTTTGTGTATAATTGTAAATAATACTAATGAGCTTATACAATATTTTCAAATTTTTGCAAGAAAAAATAGAAAATGAATGAAGTATTTCTTTTTTGATCAGCTTTTTGAAAAGTTTTAAGTAACATTCCATGAATTAGTAAAAGTAAATTTAACCCTTTCGACTCGGATGCCGCCGCTTCGGCGGCATAGTCATTTTACCGTTGCTGTTGGATGCCGCCGCTTCGGCGGCATGATATGTTTTACCGCTCCGGCGGCAAATCGTGTCGTCACAAACTAAACTTACATTTAATTTGGTTTTATTTTTTAAAAATTAATTTACTATTACATTCATTTATTGATTGATTTATTAATTTTATAAATAAATATATAACAAAATTAATTTATTAGCTCATGATCCCCATAATTCTAATAAAGATCTGTGAAGAAATGATTTTATAAACAATATAGCATTGTTTTGAGTGCATTTTTTTTTAAATTTCCTATTTTATTATCATAATAACTATATTTAAAAGCAATATAACCACATTTTAAAAAAATCCGATACAAAAAAAATTCCGAGTTGAGAGATAAGTATAGCACTATAATATTCCGAGCGCAGCGTACCGTATAGCAGTCCGACTCCCGAGTGGAAAGTGTTAATAAAAAGTATATATGTAGAGCAGGGCAAGGCACAAAGGTCCAATTTAACTTTGAGCAAATATAATTTATATTATGAAAACCAAACCAATTATATCATACCAAATAACACATTTCAAACCAACAATTATCAGACTACGTTCAGTAAAACTGCCAGCAACTTATCATTTCAGAATTTTTACGCTATAGGCAGGATAACTTGTAACGGCCAGGTGGCAAACAGGTTTAATGTCTTATTTTAATTTTAAAGACATTTTACAAAACAATTACATTTTTAACTCAAGCCAAAAAACTAACAACGGAAGAAAATACTTTTATTATAGATTTTCAAAGATTACCATTTATCTCCCAATAGCAAAGACATAAGAATCAAGGTTATAGATGGTTTTACATCTTTCTCTATTCTCTATTTTTGAATATTGTTGAACAACGCTTAACTTCACTGGTTTTTGACATATCTGTGGTGTACTTTTCAAACCCAGACCTTCATATATTACTATCCATTCTTCGATAAATTCTGAGAAATTATAACTGAGAATAAGTTATTCGACAAAATGTACCTTTGATCGATTCCAAATTTAGGTTCTGAATTTAAATAACATAAATAAAAAAAATATATATTTTAGATATTGTTTTATAAATGCCAATGAGTATATGATCCTAGACAATATACTAATGGTATATGATTATACAAATGATTTCTCCAGAACACTGTGTTAGAGAAAAATATGATTTGCAAAAGGAAAGTGCTATAACGCGAAAAAGTGCATGTTTATATTAACATTTCAAAAAAATTGATATTTTGAGTTTCTAGTAACATTTGCGGCCCGTTTAATAATGTTTTTGTGTATAAATAAAATCACAAACAAAACTACTTAATACAATTGAATAATATTCATCTAAAACATCCTGTTAAATGTAATTGAACATCATCTGTCAAAAACATTTGACATTTGACGTATGAGCAGCCGTCAATTGTTTTATTTAAATTACGCTTCTACAAAAATTTTCAAATTAAAAATGTAAAGTTTCTACGTGATTTTGAAATAATATCTCACCTTTCCGACAACCCGATACTGATTAGCATGAATTTTTCAAGACTGACCAAATCCGTATAGCCATTTTAACGTTTTACCATACCTAAGATAATTCATAACTACAGTTAAAATTAAGATTATTATTGAGTTAGAAATTTTGATCTTTTATAGATAATATTAATAAATATTGTGTTTACTTCTATTTGAAAAGTTTAGTTTAGTCATATAACATTCAAAACTTTCAAACATTCTCTGCTAATTCATCATTTTTAAAATCTAAAAACTTTTCAGTTGCATGATTTTTAAAATGCATATATTAATATTTTTATAATATAATTTACAGATAATTGTGAGAAAGTGTCACATGAACATGTGATTACTGAAATTCAAGAAGAAATTGTTTCCGTTACAAAACAATTTCCTGACATACAAATCAAGGTTGATCATAATACAGGACACGTTGCAATAGTTAATAAAGATGAAAACATTGCATTCAAGGTAAAGAGAAAACATTTTATTTTTGTACATATAATTTATCCATTTTTAATTTTAAAACAAACTCCTTTTATATAAAACAATAATTATCCCAATCTGGACATACAGAATTGAGCTATGGGCGTGCGCAAGCAATTCAAATATAAAAGAAATACAAATAGCGCAATCGAAAACTTTAGGATACATTGTGAACGCGCCCTGGTATCCGACTCGAAGATTGAAAAAAAAATGGCCATACGATCTTAAATAAACTGTCAAAAAATAAAAAAAAGAGATCTCATATGAGATAATCTCTTAAATAAATAATTTTTTAAATTCAAGACTTCTAACTTATTTTGATACAAGAGCCATATCTACTATTTTCTATGCTATTTTAAATTATAAGTTCTTCCAATATTTTTATATATTCATATTACAAAATACTATTACCAATGAGAATATTTTGTAATATTGTGTTGTGTTGTGTATCAAGAATGATTGAGCAATTTGAAATATTTTTTAGCAGAAATGTGATATGCAAGAAGAAAATGTCATATACCTCGGGGATGATAAGCCTATTGTCATTAAACCTTCGGTAAAAGCAAAAAATAAATCTGGTCAAAAGAAATCAGAGAAGACAAAAGCAAACATAGAAGAAAACAGTGAGAATGAAAATATGAGAAAAGGAGGAAATCAGAATGTCAAGCGAGGACAGCATGGAAAATTGAAAAAAATGAAAGAAAAATATAAAGATCAGGATGAAGAAGAAAGGCGTCTACGTATGGAAATATTGAAGGTATACAATTTTTTGTCAATAATATTTTGCTTCATTCATATACATTTAATATAATCATTTTAATAGTAAACTATTTGTAACAATAAATGTGGTAAATCGCTTATTACTTACTACAAAAGTTATAGTCTGCAGGCACAGCAAAAGAAATGAAAAAATCGAAGAAAAATATGTGCAAGGGTTCAACTGACCACAGTAAAATTAAACAACAGGCAACGAAGAATGTACAAAGCAATGATATTGTAACTAGCTTTTACCAAAATAAGGAATTTGTGCAGTTGGAAGGAGAAGCTGAAGGTATTTCAAGCATTATTCATTTAGTCATGTTTACTTGTATATATATATTCAAGTTATCATTTGTTATTTCATCTGATAATGAAATATAAATATAATTTATGTATATATTTACATATATATATATATATATATATATATATATATATATATATATATATGTTTATATAACACAATAGTTAGTTAATTAAATTTTAAAAAATAGCACAAATTGGTGAAAGTAATGAACAAGCAGATCGAAATGAACGTGATTCTGGTGAATTGCAATTAATTTTAGATTCTCTAACTGGCCAACCACTTGAAGAAGATGAATTGTTATATGCAGTTCCAATTATTGCACCTTACAATACATTAACAACATACAAGTAAGATCATTTTTATAATGATACTTAAAATATTTAAAAAGTTTAAAATCAAAATATTATTCAGCATCTTAGGTTCTTTTTCACTCTTAATAATTTTGTTATACTTTATTTCACAAACAGGTTTAAAGTAAAACTGACTCCTGGAACAGGCCGAAGGGGGAAGGCTGCTAAAACAGCAGTTGCGATGTTTGTCAGAGAAAAAGCTTGTACACAAAGAGAAAAAGATTTAATTCGTGCAGTTAAAGATGATGTTCTAGCTAGAAACATACCTGGGAAAGCTAAGCTATCAGCTCCTCACTTACACAAGCATAAGTAAGCCTCGGTTTATCATTTATGTAATTTTTAAATTAAAATATTGTGATAATGTAGTGGTTTATATAAATTGTAATATGTTTCTTGAGTATGAAAGTAGTAAATACTCTTCTTGGTTGCTAGAATTAAAAATAAAGTATATTATAATAAAAAGATTAATAATTTTAAGTTTATTTTATTATTTTTACCAATTTTAATTTTAAAATATTACCTAATCTTCACTATCGGCATTTATAGCATTTTCAAGGCAAAACAAAAAACTGAATGTTTCAGTTTTTTAATTTAAATGAGTATGTAAAATATTTTTATTAATACTATTATTCAAAGTGTTAATTAGTTCATTTTAATTTATATACTTTAAATATTGGTCAGTTTTATTTAACTTTGAACTTGTACAATAAAAATTAAGTTTTCAACTATGTTCTTTTCCTTAACTCTTTGCACTTCTACAATAAAATGAAGTTTTCAAGCGTTCGCGTACGTCGATTTTGGAAGACCGGGTCCAGAGTCGACTAGCAATCGGGGGATATTTATTTCTCCGAAAAATATCCCCAAAAAATATCCCCGAAAAATTTCCCCAAAAAATATCCCCGAAAAATTTCCCCAAAAATTTCCCCGAAAAATATCCCCAAAAAATATCCCCGAAAAAATTTCCCCAAAAATATCCCCAGAAAATATCCCCGAAAAATATCCCCAAAAAATATCCCCAAAAAATTTTCCCAAAAAATATCCCCAAAAAATATTCCCACAAAATTTCCCCGAAAAATATCCCAAAAAATATCCCCAAAAAATTTTCCCAAAAAATATCCCCAAAAAATATCCCCAAAAAATATCCCCGAAAAATATCCCCAAAAAATATCCCCAAAAAAATTTTGGCCTAAAAAATTTTGGTCAAAAAAATTTTGAACAAAAAAATTTTGACCTAAAAAAATTTTGGTCAAAAAAATTTTGACCTAAAAAATTTTGACCCAAAAAATCGGGGATATTTTTATTATCCCCATAAAATATCCCCGAAAAATATCCCCGAAAAATATCCCCAAAAAATTTCCCCAAAAAATTTCCCCAAAAAATATCCCCGAAAAATTTCCCCAAAAATATCCCCGAAAAATATCCCCGAAAAATATCCCCGAAAAATATCCCCAAAAAATTTCCCCGAAAATGGGGATATTTTTAACCAAAATTTTTTAGGCCAAAATTTTTTGGGTCAAAATTTTTGGGTCAAAATTTTTTTGGGTCAAAATTTTTGGGTCAAAATTTTTTGGGTCAAAATTTTTTTGACCAAAATTTTTTAGGCCAAAATTTTTTGGGTCAAAATTTTTTTGGGTCAAAATTTTTGGGTCAAAATTTTTTGGGTCAAAATTTTTTGGGTCAAAATTTTTTGGGTCAAAATTTTTTGGGTCAAAATTTTTTTGACCAAAATTTTTTAGGCCAAAATTTTTTGGGTCAAAATTTTTTGGGTCAAAATTTTTTGGGTCAAAATTTTTTTGGGTCAAAATTTTTTGGGTCAAAATTTTTTTGACCAAAATTTTTTTTGACCAAGATTTTTTTGGGTCAAAATTTTTTGGGTCAAAATTTTTTGGGTCCAAATTTTTTGACCAAAATTTTTTGACCAAGATTTTTTTGGGTCAAAATTTTTTGGGTCAAAATTTTTTTGGGTCAAAATTTTTTGGGTCAAAATTTTTTGGGTCAAAATTTTTTTGACCAAGATTTTTTTGGGTCAAAATTTTTTGGGTCAAAATTTTTTGACCAAAATTTTTTTGGGTCAAAATTTTTTTGACCAAAATTTTTTTGACCAAGATTTTTTTAGGTCAAAATTTTTTGGGTCAAAATTTTTTTGACCAAAATTTTTTGGGTCAAAATTTTTTGGGTCAAAATTTTTTGGGTCAAAATTTTTTTGGGTCAAAATTTTTTGGGTCAAAATTTTTTGACCAAAATTTTTTAGGCCAAAATTTTTTTGACCAAATTTTTCTGGGTCAAAATTTTTTTGACCAAAATTTTTTTGACCAAGATTTTTTTGGGTCAAAATTTTTTTGGGTCAAAATTTTTTGGGTCAAAATTTTTTTGACCAAAATTTTTTAGGCCAAAATTTTTTTGACCAAATTTTTTGGGTCAAAATTTTTTGACCAAAATTTTTTTGGGTCAAAATTTTTTGACCAAAATTTTTTAGGCCAAAATTTTTTAGGCCAAAATTTTTTTGACCAAGATTTTTTTGGGTCAAAATTTTTTGGGTCAAAATTTTTTTGACCAAAATTTTTGGGTCAAAATTTTTTGGGTCAAAATTTTTTGGTCAAAATTTTTTGGGTCAAAATTTTTTGGGTCAAAATTTTTTGGGTCAAAATTTTTTGGGTCAAAATTTTTTGGGTCAAAATTTTTTAGGCCAAAATTTTTTGACCCAAAAAAATTTTGACCCAAAATTTTTTTGACCAAAATTTTTTTGACCAAAATTTTTTAGGCCAAAATTTTTTTGACCAAGATTTTTTTGGGTCAAAATTTTTTTGACCAAAATTTTTTTAGGTCAAAATTTTTTGGGTCAAAATTTTTTTGACCAAAATTTTTTAGGCTAAAATTTTTTGGGTCAAAATTTTTTAGGTCAAAATTTTTTGAGTCAAAATTTTTTGGGTCAAAATATTTTGGGTCAAAATTTTTTTGGGTCAAAATTTTTTGGGTCAAAATTTTTTTGACCAAGATTTTTTTGGGTCAAAATTTTTTGGGTCAAAATTTTTTGACCAAAATTTTTTTGACCAGATTTTTTTTGGGTCAAAATTTTTTGGGTCAAAATTTTTTTGACCAAAATTTTTTTGGGTCAAATTTTTTTTGACCAAATTTTTTTGGCCAAAATTTTTTTTTGGGTCAAAATTTTTTGGGTCAAAATTTTTTTGACCAAAATTTTTTGGGTCAAAATTTTTTTGACCAAATTTTTTTGACAAAATTTTTTTAGGTCAAAATTTTTTGGGTCAAAATTTTTTTGACCAAAATTTTTTTGGGTCAAAATTTTTTGGGTCAAAATTTTTTGGGTCAAAATTTTTTTGGGTCAAAATTTTTTGGGTCAAAATTTTTTGGGTCAAATTTTTTTTGGGTCAAAATTTTTTGGGTCAAAATTTTTTGACCAAAATTTTTTGGGTCAAAATTTTTTTGACCAAAATTTTTAGGCCAAAATTTTTTAGGCCAAAATTTTTTTGACCAAGATTTTTTTGGGTCAAAATTTTTTGGGTCAAAATTTTTTTGACCAAAATTTTTGGGTCAAAATTTTTTGGGTCAAAATTTTTTGGGTCAAAATTTTTTTGGGTCAAAATTTTTTGGGTCAAAATTTTTTGGGTCAAAATTTTTTAGGCCAAAATTTTTTTGGGTCAAAATTTTTTGGGTCAAAATTTTTTTGACCAAAATTTTTTTGACCAAAATTTTTTAGGCCAAAATTTTTTTGACCAAGATTTTTTTGGGTCAAAATTTTTTTGACCAAAATTTTTTAGGTCAAAATTTTTTGGGTCAAAATTTTTTTGACCAAAATTTTTAGGCTAAATTTTTTGGGTCAAAATTTTTTAGGTCAAAATTTTTTTGAGTCAAAATTTTGGGTCAAAATTTTTTGGGTCAAAATTTTTTTGGGTCAAAATTTTTGGGTCAAAATTTTTTTGACCAAGATTTTTTTGGGTCAAAAATTTTTTGGGTCAAAATTTTTTTGACCAAAATTTTTTGGGTCAAAATTTTTTTGACCAAAATTTTTTAGACCAAAATTTTTTTGACCAAAATTTTTTTGACCAAGATTTTTTTGGGTCAAAATTTTTTTGACCAAAATTTTTTTGGTTCAAAATTTTTTGGGTCAAAATTTTTTGGGTCAAAATTTTTTGGGTCAAAATTTTTTTGACCAACATTTTTTAGGCCAAAATTTTTTGAGTCAAAATTTTTTGGGTCAAAATTTTTTTGGGTCAAAATTTTTTGGGTCAAAATTTTTTGGGTCAAAAATTTTTTGACGAAAATTTTTTAGGCCAAAATTTTTTGGGTCAAAATTTTTTGGGTCAAAATTTTTTTGACCAAAATTTTTTTAGGTCAAAATTTTTTGGGTCAAAATTTTTTAGGCCAAAATTTTTTGAGTCAAAATTTTTTAGGTCAAAATTTTTTTGAGTCAAAATTTTTTGGGTCAAAATTTTTTGGGTCAAATTTTTTTGACCAATTTTTTAGGCCAAAATTTTTTGGGTTCAAAATTTTTGGGTCAAAATTTTGGGTCAAAATTTTTTGGGTCAAAATTTTTTGGGTCAAAATTTTTTTTGACCAAAATTTTTTTTGACCAAGATTTTTTTGGGTCAAAATTTTTTGGGTCCAAATTTTTTTGACCAAAATTTTTTTGACCAAGTTTTTTGGGTCAAAATTTTTTGGGTCAAAATTTTTTTGGGTCAAAATGTTTTGGGTCAAAATTTTTTGGGTCAAAATTTTTTTGACCAAGATTTTTTTGGGTCAATTTTTTGGGTCAAAATTTTTTGACCAAAATTTTTTGGGTCAAAATTTTTTGACCAAAATTTTTTGACCAAGATTTTTTAGGTCAAAATTTTTGGGTCAAAATTTTTTTGACCCAAATTTTTTGGGTCAAAATTTTTTGGGTCAAAATTTTTTGGGTCAAAATTTTTTTGGGTCAAAATTTTTTGGGTCAAAATTTTTTTGACCAAAATTTTTTAGGCCAAAATTTTTTGGACCAAATTTTCTGGGTCAAAATTTTTTTGACCAAAATTTTTTTGACCAAGATTTTTTTGGGTCAAAATTTTTTGGGTCAAAATTTTTTGACCAAAATTTTTTGGGTCAAAATTTTTTGGGTCAAAATTTTTTGGGTCAAAATTTTTTTGGGTCAAAATTTTTTGGGTCAAAATTTTTTGGGTCAAAATTTTTTGGGTCAAAATTTTTTAGGCCAAAATTTTTTGGGTCAAATTTTTTGGGTCAAAATTTTTTGACCAAAATTTTTTTGACCAAA